TTCTCCTCCTTCTTCTTTTCCTTCTCCTCCTCCTCTTTCTCCTCCTCCTTCTTTTCCTCCTCCTCCTCCTCCTCCTCTGCAACATCTTTTTTGACCATCATGGTGCATTTCCATTATTTTTATTGACCTGGAAAAAAATCTACAGTATGTGGTCAATAACAGTAGATATCAATTTGATGGCACATGATCAATCCATCAATTGAAAGGAAATGCAACCTTCTGAGATAGGAATTTGGGATCCTGTGGATTTCCACATGGTGCAGGGCCCTTCAAATACCAAATAACAGTGGTTTCTGGGGGTGCCCGTAAAGAGGAATCACCCTATTCAGCAGGTTAACTGAGATTTGGTGAGCTCAACTTTATTGGAAATTGTCTAGATGGCAATAAAGGTCTCCTTCCCCAGATCTCTGCTTTACTTGAAGCCCTTTCCAATTTTAGGATTCTTACCGCAGTCCTTGTTTTTCTTTCATTTTCATCTTCCAACTTTTCTTCCCTTCTAAAATAGATTTTCTAGGTTGGACAGAAGGAGCTGCTATGGTTGTGTTGCCCTTTGTCTTTTCCTCTCAAATATTCATTGGGAGGGGGCTTTCTATACCTTCTTTCCATTAGTGCGTTGTAAAAAAAATCCAGAGAGGACATTCTTAACAGTGATGGAATCTCTTCTTTCTCTCCCCCATTTTCTCTTTTAGCTGAACCAAAGGAGGAGGGGGAAGAAGAAAAAAAGGAGGAAGATGGGGAGAATCAGCCTAGCTTGGGTGAACTGTCTATCTCTGAAACCACCAGCGATTCTTTTCTCCTTTCCTGGAGTGTCCCAACTGGGAGCTTCGACTCCTTCCTGGTTCAATATGAAGATGGCGGTCTGCAGAGCTTGCCTGTGGATGGGGCTTCCCGTGAAACGATGGTCTCCAGCCTGACTCCATTGCGCAGTTACCAGTTCGACCTCTACGGCATCTCCGGTGGCAAACGCCTGGGGCCCATTTCCGCCAAGGCCTTAACAGGTCAGTACAAGCCACTCATCCCTGATTCTCTTCCCTGGGTTAAGGGAAAGTGTAAATCTTTTTGTACAGCAGTGTTTCCCAACTTGGGCTGTGCAAGGATTTTAATGGGCTGAGGAATTCATGCATCATAAAACTGCTGGGTTTGGGAAACGCTGGTAGGGTGTCACCCTTGCAGTAGTTGGGACAAAGCAGGGGTTGGTTTCAAAACTTTTTACTACCTATTCTGTGGGTGTGGCCTATTTTGTAGGTATGGTTTGGTGGTCATGTGACTGAGTGGGCATGGCCAATTTTATGTCACTCACCAGGAGATGTCATGGATTGGGTAAAATGTGGTGAAGCTCACTTAACAACGCTCTTGCTTAGCAACCAAAATTTGGGGCTCAATTGGAGTCATAAGTCAAAGGGCTATCTCTGCTTTCCTCTGCATGGCAGCCTTGTCCTAGTAAACTAGTTCTCCTTTCTGGCAATTTTCCTCTCTATTAGAGGCACCAAAATAATCCAGACAATGTAAGGTTTCCTGCTGCAGCAAGGGGTTGGAATAAATGACCTCTGAGTAGCCTTCTAAATTGCTGTGCTGGTTTTCTCTTTCTTTCTTTCTTTCTTTCTTTCTTTCTTTCTTTCTTTCTTTCTTTCTTTCTT